ATATATATATATATATATATATATATATATATATATATATATATATATATATATTTAGACATAAAGTTAACATTGAAATACTTTTAGTATCTACGATATGAAACACACACATATTTTAAAGGTTATTTGAAGATATCTTCACTTCTGATCTTCTCCCTTTATTTTTAATTTTCGATTGAAAATCTCCAAAAATATACCAAAATGTTGTAGTAAAATTTTTAGATATCCAAAAAATGGCTTATCTTTTCTTCGAAATGTATCAAAAAAAAGGATCTATAAAGAAACGTTAACATCTCCACTGTCAATAGTATGCTATTCAGCAATTTAGCAAAAGATGCATCAGATTCCTAATTACTTCTGGAACGGATACTAATACTTATCACAGTGGATCAAAGTATTTATTTGCAAGTGAATTTTAGTTGTACTAGTTATCATATGAATTGATTAAAGTATATATATATATATATATATATGTTGGAATTAGTTACATGAATATGAATTATTAGTTTTCCTTTGCTCTTTTATTTGCCCGTAAACATTTGATGAAATCGATATATGACAGAGAGAAGATTGGAAGATCTGCGAGCATGAATAGAAGATCTCACTTATTGTTATATTCTCTATAATCAGGCTTCACCTGTAAAGAGATGATATGATGGAATGTCAACTGGTAGTAATGAACTTACTACGCCTCCTTGTCCGTGCTTTAAACATTGAGCTGCTGCTGAGATACAAATGCACTGAAATCTGAAGCTAAGTAAGACAGACAATAGTGAGTGATTTTCGGTTTGTTACGGTGAAATATCAACTGTGAAATAGCAATTAGAGGCACTTGTTCGTAACATTTTCCACATTTCAATTAGTCCTTTATTTTGACTTAAAATATATCTGTTAAACAACAATAAAAATTTGGAAGAGGCGCAAAATGAAACTTGAGAAAATGTCGAGGAAGCTAAATAATAGTTACAGGATGATGTCACGTAGTAACTGGGAAAAAGATTCTCTTCATCTTTTACATAAATTCAAAGAAGGCCAAGAAAAGAGAAACGTTCCCCAATTTCTCACACACTATTTCTGTAAGAATTTTTCTCTTTCCTTCTTGCAAAAAAAAAAAAAATATTTCAGATGAGAGAGAAACTATGAAATAATTTTCTTTTGCTTGCCTTTTTGTTCTGTTTTAACAGTTAAAATACCAGTTGAAAAATTTTGTCTCGCATTCATTTTATTCCTTATAATGGAAATTTGAAATTAACTGGGATCAAAAGTAGTAAAATCTAAGCCTCTCATGGATTTTTTTTTTTTGCAAAAGATCAATGCGAGAACTAAATTATGACGTAAATATATGACGAAATTCTTTTATTCATTTTTTGATAGCATTCCGATATCAACCACCGATGTCTTTTCCGCATCCAACGAATGTATGCTTTTTTAGATTAAGAAACTGAGTGTTTGTTTGATTGTTTACCTAGCAAACAAACTGCACTATTGCCTACCAATGTTTTCTATAACGAAATTTTTACTGTAACGAGTTTACTTATCAAATAGATATATAGGATGGGATTACGTTATTATTATAGCAGAGGATGGAAAACATGGAATATGTAACTTACTCTTTCCGTCAAGTTCCTTTCTTATCGTCTTTTACAACCGTATTTAGCGTATTAAGTAGTGATCAGTATGACGTATTCGTGACCTGAGCTCGCATCGCGTGGACAGCAACAGAAAGAGGAAACGAAGATAATGATGTTGACCGACATCCACCTTTTCAGATCCATCAAGGACAATAGTTCAACAAGTTGAGGTGGTTTGCTGACGAAATGTTCAATTTCACAACTGCTAATCACATTTAATGGATGGACTGCGTAAAACATTGTCTATAGAGTCACAAAACGGGGTGTGGAGTGTGTGAAGATTAGGGATGTATGGATCCAATGGGGCGCTGTTGTACATTCCGTTGATGATCTTCCTTATTGTCCTTTACAACGAGTATTTGACATATTACATAATGATTTATGTAACCTGTTCGTGGCCTATGTCGCCGTCGCGCGGACGGCAGGGGAAAGAGGAGACAAGGGTAATGATGTTAACCGATATTCATCTCCTCGGACCCTACCGAGGACATTGGTTCGACAAGCTGAGAAGGTTCGTTTTCCTTCTTTTTTTATTTCCATTTTTTCCTCAAAGATCTGAGTAAAGAAGAATCTGAGTAAAGCATTTTTTCCATTCTTTATCCCAAAAACTGAATGTTGAAAATAATTTTCTGAACATGGAATTATTTGTATCTTTTTATATCACGATAAATAGTTGCATTAAGAAAGTTGGCAACATCAATATGTAAAAATAGAGATACTTAGGTAAATGAGACGACAAGAAGAAAATTATTTAATAGAAACTTGAACGTTAAATTCTATTGGCTAACAATAGCAATAGGTACAAAGAGGACAAAAACAATGACCGAAGTTTGAAAAAGGAAAATTGGGTAAGTAGAAGTAATAGTTGTGATAAGTAGTAGTTGCATTAAGTGTAAATGATGCTTGGTTCGAGTTCGAGACATGAAATAATAGTTTAATGAAAATATTTCCACTTTTGAAAAACTTGGTGGAGTATGTCTAGAAGTATTAATGGAAGAGATAGTCTACTCTATTTTGTTCGAATTTCTAGTTGACCTACAGTTTTCGTCCATGTCACAAGTTTCTAATAATTCTGATCTAGGTAGCTTACTTTATGTACTTACACTTGAACTACAAAGATGAATGAATTCATATTAATGAGTGGATGCTTGGATTTGTCATTTTTCAGGGAATGGCAGATGTACCGGTCGTTTCAATCAGCCATATCACTGATGCATCCACATGCTGTTTTCTTTTTAGATTTGTTTGAATATATATATATATATATATTCATATTCTAAATACATATATTCGATATGAATAATTCGATATGAATATATATATATATATATATATATATATATATATATATATATATATATTATATATATATTATATATATATATA